TTGCTAACTAAATAGATCTTTTATTCATTGTTGGTCTTTTTTTTTGTAGTTTCCCGTTTTTCGCTCCATACATTGTCTTAAGTACTGTCATCTAACCTGCATTGAATTGTGAGCTGTTTGTTAAAGCTCGCACCTCTGTGCATGTACAATAGTTGAAGTCTGTCTATTCCAGGGTCAAGCGTAATGTGTAACTAACGCAAACGATTAGGTCGCGACCTATGATAGATTCTGAAGTTTCCAGAATTGAAAAAAGATTGATCTGTGAATATTACTATTTCATAGCTGGTTTCCTTTGCTCTACGTCATTGCGAGTCCAGAAGGACGCTTCCAAGGCCCGAAGATTGCAACCACGACGCTTGACCCTGGTCTATCCTGTGTTGCTTGATTTGGGAAATACTCTTTGTCCCTGACCAAATTAGTTCATTGCAGAATTGATCGCGGCTACGACTTTACCGGAGTTCTGGAATGGTTCGCCGAACGTGTAGATCGTATCATCCTGTTGTTCGATGCGCACAAGCTCGATATCTCGGACGAATTCAAACGATGCATTGAGGCGCTCAGTGGTAGGTCTCAATATTTGCGCTTGGTTCGGTCATCTTCATTTAGCTGCGATATACAGGGCTGACGGACTACTTGAACTCGGTCCTTTAAGCCGCCTCAATTCGATGCTCTCGTCTGCGCTCTCTCACCTTATCAGCGGCTCATGACCACTGTGATCTCACACATTCAAACTTTTGCCACACTGTAGTTGGCTCACCCACCTCGAAGTTCCTCCCTCCTAAAAGTCTGTGTCCTTAGGGCTCCCAGGTCTGTGTCCTCACCATTCGTGGCACAACCATAGAAGAAAGTTCAAGTAACTCGTAAACCGTTATGCAAGCTTGTAGCCAGATCGTTGACCTATGCCAGGAGTTGGAACTGAATGGAAAATTGATAGTTCCGTTAGCCCTCTAATTTTCATTGTAGGAAATGAGGACAAAATTCGTATTGTCTTGAACAAGTCCGACATGGTAGATCATCAGCAGTTGATGCGTGTTTATGGAGCTTTGATGTGGTCCCTTGGAAAGGTCAGTTTCATAATTTGTTGGTAACTAGACGAGATTAACTAAAACATTTTCCCTACAATTAAGGTATTCAAAACCCCCGAAGTATCTCGTGTTTACATTGGAACGTTCTGGGATCATCCCCTTCACTACGATATAAACAGGTCAGCTTTGTTATGGTTGCCCTCTGTCTTTTACTCTCCTCGTACTAAATTTATACCATTATTCTGTAAGACAGATTGTTCAGACTTTGCGAGCAATGTCTGGGCTGCGGGAATCGCTTTGACTCATTGGGCGCATAAGTCGATTTGCTGAATTCACTTCTTTTCTTTCTTTCTATCTTTGCGTTTGTTGAACACGGTGGTATTTTTTGGTTTTTCTATTGGTTTAACTGTTTGGTTTTAGCGTTATTCCAAGATGCCAACATGATGTGTCCAAGTCTGCAAGCGTTATGTAATGCCATTCGCAAATCCAATACCTATCAAAAGATTCCGTTAGCTAGGTCAGTCTTTTTCCCTGGTTTTGGTTTTTTCCGTGTTTTTCATCATAGACAATTTCCTTGGAAGGTTCACGCTTACATAATCTCTGAATTACGTAAGCAAATGCCAACTATGATTGGCAAGGAAAAGAAGAAGAAGGAGCTCATTCAGAATCTAGACAAGATATTTGAACAGCTTCAGGTGTGTTACTGTTGCGAATTGTTGCTATATATATTTTTTTTAGGTTAAGATATTTTATGTATTTTTTCTGGTTCTGGACTTACCCGCATTTTGAATTATTTTGCGGCAGCCAAATAATCCCAAAACCCAGGAGATTTTGGATGTGATATAAAATGCGCGATTGGCCTGCAATGACGCGACTTTACCACGATTCATCCTAATAAAACCGAAGCTACTTGAGTCGTTGACGCATGTTCGAGTAGGTGACTTGGGTGAGAAGTTCAATCACTTTTTTTATTATATGAATTATAAAATATACCAACGATTAAGATCCCTGGAAGCGTAGCGTATGCTATATTGTTAGTATAACATGTAGGTGAAGTGTAGATTGAACTCTGAGACTAAGCAACTGTGTCAGTATTTTTGACATAGCTGAATGGATCGCAGATGGAAAAAGCATCCAATCAATCTGATAAAACCTTTTTTCTCATCCGTTGTTCATTATCGAAAAACATGGCTCTCCTGTTTTGCAGTTTTAGTTGGAGAACTAGCTTTTCAAAACTAACTAGCTTTTATTTCTTCTGAAGGAGTTCCCCAATTATTATCATAGTTATGATTGATTTTCCTCAATATATTCTTGGCAGTTAGTAGAGTTTGGCGCTGTAAGTCCGTCTAGGATTGCTTTTTACCTTCCTTCAGCTTCACGTTTACAAAAGGCTGAGGTTCTGAGAAACCTGTAGTGCCGCAATAGCGCAAACTACTAAATATAATAGTAGATGTGATTGCACACAATCTTCAGTCCCATGACTTCAACCTTTTGTTGATTTCAGCTCGGCTAATGGCTCAAATACCGAAGGAAGAAGCTCAAGTGACAGCTGCTGCAACCACTAATGGACATGTAGCCGAACAACCGACCGTGAAAGGAGGAGCCTTCAGCCAAGCTCAAGAGGCCGAAACTCCCTTCGGATTTGGACGGGTATGTGATTTCTGTAACTTCTCCTCATTGGAAGGAATCCCTCACAGCACCTTACATGGAGATATCCTCATCAAAAGTTGTTTTTTGGCGGCTCTGTTCACAGCTTAAGATCTTCGTATGATTGGCGAATGTAAGCGCAGTAATTAATGAGTATTTTGACTTCAAACTTTCAGGGCGAAGGATTCGACAAAGGTGCCGATGAACCTGAATGGGTGGTTAGTCGTGAGAGAGCTGATGCTGATGCTACATTCGAAAGCCTTGGACCCGTTGACGGCTTCATCAGTGGTACGTGACGAGCATTTTTTCGAAGTGAAAATTCATTTTTTTCGCTTTAATTGTTGTAATTTGTTTAATGGTCAACATAAGTCCAAAAGTGATCTAAGGGTCGCAATAATCATCGTCGTGGTGATAAAATGCTAGTGGTGACATATTTACCTAATTTGGAATTCATACAAATTGCAACGACTATTGCAGGGCGTGCTGCGAAAGAGCACATGGTTAAGTCGAAACTGCCGAACTCAGTGCTTGGAAAAATTTGGAAATTGGCCGATGTCGACAGGGACGGACAGTTGGATGCGGACGAGTTTGCACTTGCGAATTATCTTATCAATCTCAAACTCGAAGGTGAGTTACTTATGTTAGGGTTATTACGACAATAAAATTTGTATAGAAGTCGAAATCTCGAAGCGCGTTACTTATGATGGTCAGTAAGTGGAAAGAGGTCATAAAGGGTTAGATTTGGAAATTTTGTGATGCTTCGGTGTTCACGAAAACAGTAGAGTAATTTGAGTGCTCTTCATATTTGAATGTTTACAATCTTTTTAGAATTCCATTACTGTGACGCGTCCAGGAATTGAGCGGTTAAGTATCCAAACACAAACACAACACAAAACACGCCAGCTTTTTTCGCTTTTTAGAGTG